CACCCAAAGAACAAGTCATTTGAAACTGTTCAGAAGTGTACCAAGATGGCTGATTTTCCAGCAAGACTGAGCTTTTTCATATCCACATATAGTATTTTTGCCTACCTGCTGAAGCGGCTAACATAAGCGACTTGTCGATAGTAATGTTCTGAATTCCTCCTACGTATTTGATATGATCATATATAGCCCTCCAAGATATTAGCGAGTGCCCTAGAAGATTGTCCTCTTCAACTTCGTTGTTGACGGAGAATCCTCTTTCAATAGAGGCAACATGCGGACCACCTTTAATAAAGATGAATAGCGAGACTCAGACAGAAATGTGCACATCAGAGAGTCCAGTCTGTCTTTCTTCAGATCAAATTTTCTCATCTCTGCATTTCTTGATGCCTCATCACATGCTTCTGTATTCTCTTAGGATGTCATCACATGAATCCTCAAGTCTGTTTGCATCACTAAGGGAACTAAGCATCCTTTTCAGCTTTGCAGTAGAGTTTTCTTTTTTTTTGCCATGCTCTTTGGATTTAAGCATCCCATATTTCTCATAAGTGCATACTTAAGTGGACATCTGTCAATGAGCTTGAAGGTCATTGCAGCAAGAAACTGTTTTGCTTGGACGCGAAATTCCAGAATCCTTCGCTCACTGATGATGTTTTTTGCTTTCAGATCCTTTAGCTTTTTCTCAGTGTAGAATCCAATATCGACCTTGGTCAAAGGCAGCTGAATGGCCTCGCTGCTAATATCTACCTGCATTATCTTGTAAGGAGAAGTAAGGGTACTCCTGTCAAGTTTTAAGAATCGCCGCATAAGGGAAGCAAGCATTCTGGTTAGCTCTTCGGCTAAGAAGGGCAACATTGGCGCATCAGTTTGGTAGTCTGTTAGAAAGGGATGGACCAACTTTGCCACATCTTGATGAGCAGAGATGTGAAAAGGAAAAGAAGGAAAGAAAAAGAAAAGGACTGCTTGATGAGATAGATGAACTGAAAGCTAAGAAGTCTAGACTGCAAGCAGATATCAAAAGTCTTCAAGAATCAGCAGACAAGTTTGCAGAGGAAGCCGAGTCAACTGGCAGATTAACTTGTATATCCAAATCAAACAGCCTCCGACATACAGCAAAGGAGAAGATGTCCCAGTTAGAAGTGATTCAGAAACAAATTGATGAACAGCTGAATGTCATCAAGAATTTGTAAAGTAAGACACAGTGGACAAGTTTGCAGAGGAAGCTAAATCAACTAACAGTTTGACATGTATATCAAAATCAAACAGTCTCCTGTGTTAACAGCTTTGTATGTACAGTAGAGGAGATGTCTCAAGAAGAACTCATTCAGAAACAAACTGATCAGCTAAATGCCACAAAGAATGCATAATGTAAATATTATGTTGTTGTTAATGGGGGGATGCAAAAGAAGAGACGGTGCAGTATATACACTTTGCTTCGCTTTGGGATTAAATTTTTTGGTCTACCATGTAAAACTTTGTTCAAAAGTCATGGAATTCTGGCTTGAAAGGTCATGGAAAGTCATGGAATTTCACATGTAAGAAAGTGGGCAGTAAAACAATAAAATTTAAGTATAAATAGTTGTATACTATTATGAGTTTAAAGCTATTTAGGATAAACAAATGTAGTTTTGTGTTACAATCTGAAGTCATTCTAGAAAGAAAAAAGGGAAAATTTAGATTTTTTTTTTGTTGTTACGAGGTTGGTTTAACCTTGTGTAGAGTTAAAATAGAGAAAATAACAGAAAAAAAATATAAAGTTTTACTGAAAAACTTTGAAATGTATTTAGGAGGTTTTAGAGAATATGCAAATGAAATTTGATAAATTTCAGATGAAGAAAAGTATTTTTGATAATAACATGAAAATCACTTTGTACTCGGAGCAGTCAACACTTTGAATCCATATATTCATGGACAAATTTTTAATGAAAATACTTCATTAAATATTCTGAGGTTTTCTCTACAAAAGGCTCTTAATACTTACTGAAAGCTTGCAAATTTATGTGAAGATATACAAACATATTAGAAGTTACATTATGGAAACTATAAAGGTTAATTTGGAGTCACAAACTTGGCTGATTCTGCCAAGCCTGTAGCAAGAGTTTTAGATAAATAAAAATTATTTAGTGTACTGCTGCCAGCACTATAAAAAAGAAAAAGTAGGCTTAAATTTCATAAGCAACCAAAAGCAAACAAAAACAAGAGATCAAAGGTAAGTAAATACTATATTTCTTGTTTTCGTGTGTATTCTTTATTCGTTGTTATAAAAGTAATTAAAATGGAAAATTAGAAAATTTATCATTGTACATAAAGTAAGATAATGAAAAATAATAACAATTATAAAAATTCTTCATGAGGTAATCTTGCAAGCAGCTCATGCATTACATCATTCAATACAGTAATTTAAGCTAGGTGTTCACTGAGTGATTTATGACTTATATGGGGAATTTTTAGTTAGACACAGATCAAACGGTAATATTATTAAGTATAAACAAATCTATACTGTTATGAGCTTTAAGCTACTTTGGATAAACAATTGTAGTTTTCTGCTATAATCATCAGTCATTCTAGAAAGATAAATGGATAATTTAGATTTATTTCATATTGTTTCATGGTGGTTACAAGGCTGGTCAACTCAATTGAGTTTGTACAGAAAATAACAGACAAGATATAAAGTTTTACTAAAAACAAATGTTTGATATTTATACAGGAGGTTTCAGAGATTATGTAAATGAAATATGAAAAGTTTTAGGTGAAAAAGAGTATTTTTAATTTTAACATGAAAATCAATTTTCACTTGGAGCAGTCAACATGCTGACTCCATATATTCATGGACAAGTCTTTAGCAAAAATACTTAATTAAAAAGTTTGATTTTTTTGTTCAAAAAACTTTTCGTTTTTATTGAAAGCTTTCCAAATTTTGTGAAGTTTCACAAAACATATTGAAAATTATTGTATAGAAACTGATGGTTACAAGGTCGATCACATTGACTGCCCCCGTATGGAAAGAGTTAATGATATGTCATAGTTGTTAAGTGAATGTTCTTCATGGGTTACTGAAGCTGTTAAGTAAATGTTCTTCATGGTTTATTGAAGTTAATTTGATGTTCATTGCTTATTAAAGATGTTAAATATATGTTCTTCATGAGTTACTGAAGCTGTTAAGTAGATATTTTTGGTGTATTGAAGTTGAATTGATGTTCATGATTTATTAAAGATGTTAAGTAGATATTTTTTTGATGTATTGAAGTTGAATTGATGTTCATGTTTTTTTAAAGATGTTAAGTAGATGTTCTTCATGGGTTACTGAAGCTGTTAAGTAGATATTTTTTGGTGTATTGAAGTTGAATTGATGTTCATGGTTTATTAAAGATGTTAAGTAGATTTTTTTTGGTGTATTGAAGTTGAATTGATGTTCATGGTTTTTTAAAGATGTTAAGTAGATGTTCTTCATGGGTTACTGAAGCTGTTAAGTAGATATTTTTTGGTGTATTGAAGTTGAATTGATGTTCATGGTTATTAAAGATGTTAAGTAGATGTTCATCATGGGTTACTGAAACTGTTAAGTAGATATTTGTTTTTGGTATATTGAAGTTGAATTGATGTTCATGATTTATTAAAGATGTTCTTTATTGTTTGTTTTATTTGTTGATTATATTTTATATGTTATATTACATGTTATAGTTATTAAGTAAATGTACAGTACATTTTGCTTTGTTTATTTCATTGTTTATCAGAGTTGTTAAGTAGATATTTGTGTAGTTGGTAAGTACATTTTTCTTCATGGTGTGTCTTTTCTTCCAGGGAAACAATCATGAGAAACTAGTTAGCATCAGTCTGTGTAAGTTGTTTCAGTTGTCTTACTGGAACCCTGTTCGCACAATGAAATCAGTCCTGATGAATGTAAAAGGATACCTAGAGAACTATGTCAGGTACTACACAGATGAGTAAACTGGAAAAAGGGTCCCTAATTTTATATGTTTATTTATTTTGTATACTGCAGATTTACTTGGTTAGACCGTTAAAATTATTTGAAAAAAATCTCTAGAAAATATTTCCAAAAGTATCATTGTTTTCACATGTGTTAATACATACTCTTTATTCATAATTTAGTTGTTGTTTTTTCTATGTGAGTATTAGATATTTATTTTTCAGTATATTGAAATTTGTTATCCGAATAATTTAGTTGCTATTCTTATTGGGACTAAGTAAACTGTTTACTTTCTTCATTCACTACAAGTTATAAAATTGATGAACAGGGCTTGACAAATCCCGGACACCAGGTGGCTATAGCACCAAAAAGGGGACCTAATGTCTAGGAATTTTGAGTAAATTTTTCGGGTAATATTTGATATGTGATTAACCCTGTCATGACCAATGAGTATTTATCAGGGTTGAGTGCACACCTGTATATCAAATTTAAAAGTTTAAATAAAAATAATAATTTTAATTCAACAATTTATCATTCAGAATGTTTTAGAATAGACATTTTGTCATGTTATAACACTTATTTAGTGTAATTCACACAGAAAATTTAAAAAGATGTTCCAAACTTACATTTCTATACAGTTTTGAGGAGTCTTACCCTTAAGAAACTCACAGGTTTTTTATAATTTTTCTGCCCATCCCAAAACGTACATTTGTATTTGCTAGGGAACTAGCTTCCCTTGAAAATATGATAAGCCATGACTTGTTTCTCATTGTAAGTTTCCCCTATCTGTTACTGGTTTTATTATTACAACCCTTCATTCCCACCCTTTTATGATGTCACAATATGTGATTTGAAGAACCACTTACGAAGCGCATCTATGAAAATAGCTACAGGTAGAGTATAAAAACCATTGGATAGAGCAGATAATAAACAATTTTTCTGGCTCCTTAACGTCAGAGATATTTAGCAACCCCTACTAATAAAGGTTTTCTTTATATTTCACAATTGAGATACTTTTTTTTAGGTAAACTTAGACCCATAAAATATATTAGTAATTAAAATGTCCCAGTTTTATATGTTGCCTTAATATACTTTTAGACTATACTTATAAGAAGGAATGTTCAAAATGTATTGTTGAACTCATTTTACACATACTTATCTTTCCCCAAAAGTGTTGTTGGCTGTTACTGAACTTTCTATCAATACACTTGTCACATCTTGGTTGAGCTGCCAGTATTCCTAATCTTTAAAAGTTCTTTTAAAAGAAAAATCTTTAAGTTACCAATATTCCATATTTTTATATATTTGTTAAACTATCAATATTCCTGGCATAAATTTCTTACGTTATCATTATTTGTACAGTATTTTTGTAAACTATCAGTACATCTTTCATATAATTGTTAAGCTATCAGTATTCCTAACGTAACTTTGTTAAACTATGTTTGTTGTGTATCTTTGTTAACAAGTGCTGGATAATTTGCTGCCAGGTTCACTTGGCGCAAAGGATAAGAGTTAAATACTTGTAGATGCTAAGGTATGGTGTTTTGAATTGTGTACATTGTATTATATTTAGATCAAGTATTGTAGGAGGTAGATTTAAATACCTGTAGACTGAGGCTTGGTATCTTGTATCGTTTACATATGTATTTATTTAGCACCAAGTTCAAGTATTACAATCGAATTAAATACCTGTGCACGGCGGCTTTGTGCCTTGAATTGTTTATCTGTGTATTTATTTAATATCTAGTTCAAGTATTACAATCGAATTAAATACCTGTGCACGGCGGCTTTGTGCCTTGAATTGTTTATTTGTGTATTTATTTAATATCTAGTTCAAGTATTACAGTAGGTTGGATTAAATATCTGTTGATTAAGGCTTGATGTCTTGAATTGTTTACATGCGTGCTTATTTAGCACCTAGTTCAAGTATTACAGTAGGTATAGTTAAATACCTGTAAAATGAGGCTTGATGTCTTGAATTGTTTACATGTATGTTTATTTAGCTCCAAGTTGAAGTATTACAGTAGGTAAAGTTTAATACCTGTAAAATGAGGCTTGATGTCTTGAATTGTTTACATGTGTGTTTATTTAGCTCCAAGTTGAAGTATTACAGTAGGTAAAGTTTAATACCAGTAGAATGAGGATTAGGGTATTGAATTCTTTACATGTGTATTTATTTAGTACCCAATTCAAGTATTACAGTAGGTAGACTTTAGTACTTGTAGAATGAGGCTTGATGTTTTAAATTGTTTACATGTATATTTATTTAGTACTCAGTTCAAGTATTACAGTAGGTAGAGTTAAATGCCAGTAGACTGAGGCTTGATGCTTTAGATTGTTTACATGTGTATTTATTTAGTACCCAGTTCAAGTATTACAGCAGGTAGACTTTAGTACTTGTAGAATGAGGCTTGATGCTTTAGATTGTTTACATGTGTATTTATTTAGTACCCAGTTCAAGTATTACAATAGGTAGAGTTAAATACTAGTAGACTGAGGCTTGATGCTTTAGATTGTTTACATGAGTATTTATTAAGCAACTAGTTGAAGTATTACAGTAGGTAGGGTTAAATACCAGTAGACTGAGGCTTGATGCTTTAGATTGTTTACATGTGTGGTATTTAACCCTACCTACTGTAATACTTCAACTAGTTGCTTAATAAATACACATGTAAACAATCTAAAGCATCAAGCCTCAGTCTACTGGTATTTAACTCTACCTACTGTAATACTTGAACTGGGTACTAAATAAATACTAGACTGAGACTTGATGTCCTGAATAGTTTACATGTGTATTTATTTAGTACCCAGTTCAAGAATAACAGTAGATAGTTTAATACCAGTATACTGAGAATTGGTGTTATGAATTGTTTACATGTGTATTTTTGTAGAACCCAGTTCAAGTATTACAGTAAGTAGAGTTAAATACCTGTAGACTGAAGCTTGGTGTCTTGAATTGTCTACATGAGTATTTATTTATCATCTAGTAGGTTGGATTAAATACCTTTTCACTGAGGGTTCATGACTTGAATTGTTTACATGTGTATTTATTTAGTAACCAGTTCAAGTATTACAGTAGGTAGTGATAAATACCTGTAGACTGAGGCTTGGTGTTGTGAATTATTTCTATATGTGTATTTATTTAGTAATCAGTTCAAGTATTACAGAAGGTAGTGGTAAATGCCTGTAGACTGAGGCTTGATGCTTTAGATTGTTTACATGTGTATTTATTAAGCAACTAGTTGAAATATTACAGTAGATAGGGTTAAATACCACTAGACTGAGACTTGATGTCTTAAATTGTTTACATGTGTATTTATATAGAACCCAATTCAGGTATTACAATAGGTAGTGTTAAATACCTTTAGAATAAGGCTTGGTATCTTGAATTGTATACATATGTATTTATTTAGTACCCATTTCAAGTATTACAGTAGATAGATTTAAATACCTGTAGACTGAGTGTAATGGGCAGCACCCTTAGGGCAAATCATTGGAGTTTCAATTATACTGCTGGTTACACCAAATTTATTTAGTTGAGGACTTGCAGTGGCGAATGGAGCTCACAAGTCGTTAACTCAAGGTAATTTACAGTTAGAATAAAGAAATAGAATCTGAGACTAACATTGAACAAATTAGAACAACGTTTATTAAATTTTTCCACATTACATACAATATTAGTCCATGTTTATTAATCTTTAACTTCTCATAACTTTTTACTATTACTTTTAATCCATTTTAATAACTAATACATATAGAATACATTTCTTTAATACAAACATGAACAACCTTTACTATAAACCACATTAATTGAAGCTTGAGAGTCAGAAATTCTATTTACAACATAGTTGGCGAGGTGTACTTCTGTAGCTTAGATACCTTCAACATTTTCTTGGTAAATTTGCTGAGGATGCGTGAAGACATGCTGGAGACTTAAAGAGCTCAAAAAAGACTTGACTTTCTGCCTCTGACATGAGTTTTTAAGCAACTTTTCTTTGTGTTCCTATGAATTACCAAATAGTATGCAGAACTACCCACAAGTAGTTCTCACAATAATACTAAGCCCCAGTCTACTGGTATTAAACCCTATCTACTATAATACTTGAACAGGGTATACTAAATAAATACACATGTAAACAATTCACGATACCAAGACTCATGAAGCCTAACTGAAACAATTGAGGATTTTAAGGAATTTGTGCAATTGCTTCATGGTAATTTCCGAATTTAATGTGTTTTTATTGAGAGAGCAATATAAGAAAGTAAAATGTAATACATATGTATATAAAAAAATAGCATTGAGAAACTAGGTCGATATTAAGTAGCTAGAGCATAGAGGAATCAAGAATCATAAGTTACAAAGGAGTTATCGAAAAAATGATGCTATTGCCTAGCAATGAAGTAGATGCACTAGCACCAGTGGTTAACAGTAATTAATTACTAACATCAACTCGTTAGTACTGTGGAAACTACGAAAAAGTTGATGTTAACACGCAAGACCGGTACTTTGATGATATATTCCTTACACAATGCTAGTGTACTAGCACAAGTAAATAGGTGACCGGCTAACTCAGCATAACAGTTACAAATCACTCGAGAGGTTTGGATATGGTTTTCGACTAGCCTGGGAAGTTGCAAAGATTGACCAATAAGGGAATTGTTTACATGTGTAATTATTTAGTAACCAGTTCAAGTATTACAGTAGATAGAGTTAAATACCTGTAGACTGAGTCTTTGTGTTATGAATTGCTTACATGTGTATTTATTTAGTACCCAGTTCAAGTATTACAGTACATAGGGTTTAATACCAGTAGACTGGGGCTTAGTGTTATGAATTGTTTACATGTGTAATTATTTAGTAACCAGTTCAAGTATTACAGTAGATAGAGTTAAATACCTGTAGACTGAGTCTTTGTGTTATGAATTGCTTACATGTGTATTTATTTAGTACCCAGTTCAAGTATTACAGTACATAGGGTTTAATACCAGTAGACTGAGGCTTTGTGTCTTGAATTGTTTATACTGAAACTGCTCTTGAGATTTATTGTCTTTTCTACATGGCTTTCTTTCTATCTTACAGGATTGACGTTGATGATTGGAGAAACAACCTCCAAATGTTGCCACTTGTTTTACTTTTGGAAGATCTTTTAAGTCGGCTAGCTGTGGTAAGCTTATTTTAAAATAACAGACTTAATGTGATTTGAAATATTTCATTCACTTATAAAACTTTCTCAATAAAAAATAACCAACCGATAAAAAGGTAGGTTTTCTTCTGATTCATTTATTATTGAATTATAACAAACATGGAAAAATCTTAATTTTGAAAAATAAATGTCAATACAAGTTTTCAAATCAATCTAATAATGCATTCATACTAAGGTTTTATGACCAATAAATCATTTTGAATCAATATTTTAATTTTTCTATATGTCGTTGTAAGTATTTTTGGGTTACTTCTAAGCTTTTTTGCATAAGATTTTCAATTTTAAGGTCAGCTATTGCTGTTTACGCAAAATTAAAATTAAAATTTCACCATTTATGTATTATTGTATTTCAAAAATAGTTTACTGAAATATGTAAATGAATTAATGAGATTTTCCAAAAACCTTTTGAATACTCTTTGGGCAGGTGTATATGCTACCTTAAATCTAGAGGAACACATCTACATTCATGCTTCTGGTTTCTTTTACCATGTGCTCTGTTTAGCCATAATGACAGAATATAAGACTTTAATTGAAAAAATAAAAAAAGTATGTGTTAACCATTTTGCAACTGGTAAACATCTTTCAGGTGATAAATGTGCAACTGCATATCAAATTTTAAATAAAAAATAATAATTCTATCTATTTCAACAATATTTTACTCCCAAATATTTGCATATTGATTTTTATTACATTTATTTAGTATATTTTGTATTTAAAAAAAAAAAAGTCTTCAAACTTAAATTTCTGCACATCTCCAAGGAGTCTCACTTGTAAATGATATAGGTATCCACTTTTTTATAATTTTTCTGCTCATTCCAAATCATAGGTTTTTTTTATTTGCTAAGAAACTATCATATTTTGACAATAAAATTAACTAAATCTTGTTTTACGTGACTTTCCTTCTTTATCTCAATATTTATTATTACAGGCCCCTTTTCATATCAAATGCTGTGAGGTGATAAAATGGTGGGAACAGCTGCTAAAGAAGAATAACCTTGAATGTAGCTACAGGCAAAGTTTAAATACCATTCAATAGAGCAGGTTATTTATGTCAATTTAGAATATTGTCAGAAAATGATTAGATGTAATTCCTTTATAGATGAATAACAAAAGTTTAGAAGACTTGGAAATAAACCACAGATCAGGGAATTTTTTATAGTGTCCTTAGAATTTCTTATCATTCCTAAAAACGTACTAAATTATATTTGTTTGAAAGTTATGGTAGTTTTCTTCTATGACAAAACATTGAGTAAGCTTTATTAGGTTTATAGCGTACAGTTGGGAAGGCAAATTATTCTGGTGACTCAAATGTATCTCAAACTCTTATTTATCGAATATTATTATCAAGTTTATTATATTTAAATAATGCACATAAATGAAATAATCTATAATTTATATAAAACAAAGTATATTTATAAGATATAAATGGAGTTTGACCAGGAATGTTGTTTCCTAGCCAGATCTGATACGATTTTCTAAGGTTAGATCTTGTTTGTTATTGTGGTGTTCTTTACAATTTTTGCAGGAAGTGATGACTACTGCAACCATTAAGATAAAGTACCAAAAGAAATATGTTAATGAAAATTAAGGAAGGCAAAATTGACTGGATATATAAAATGGAAATTTCTGATCAACAATAAAAAAAAATCAATTCTAAAAGAAGTAGTTTAATATTTTTATTCAAAATCGTCTCATAACAAAATTTTATAATGATAGAAAAACATGAAATTATATGAAGGTTTTTAAGCCAACATAAAGATGTCTGGGGATTTTGTTAAGTATTTCTACTATGAGAAAGGAAATATCAAGGGATATCAGTGACCCCACCCCTACCCAGTCCAGAAAGAGTTAACCCAATGGTGAATAGGTGGCAATCAAAGTGTACATGTCATGACCTTTCAAAAGGCTGCCATTCAACATGTATTATGTATTTGATGTCAAGTTATAAATTATTCCCTATCAAAATATACATTTGTGTCCCCTATTCTTACCCTTCTCACAATTAAGTGCAAAAAGAAGGGATGAAGCATTAACACTATTAGTTCCCTAAACAGTGTTAAACACTGGAAACCTAGCTTAATTCTTGTGCTATGTAATGGTTCCTAACAAATAAGGCTACGTGTTCCCAATATGATACAGTTCACTGTATTTACATTAGAGAGTATACAAAGCTCACTATATCAAGTGACTTGCTTTTTTATTGTTTATTTTTGGTTAATATGTGCACTGTTGTTTGTTTCCATCAATTGTCACTTAAGTGTTAATTCTTGTTGAAGTTTAATGAATGTTAATTTCCCATCAGTATAGAGCTAGAAAATGTTGATATCTGTTAGTTCATCTTAACATTTATTGGTGACAAAATGTGAAAATATTGATAACTGATGATGTAAGTTTTATATAGGTGAGTATTGCTAGCTGTTGTGTAAAGCTTGTCTAGTAAGTATTGGGATTTTGTTTTAGAGGTAAAGTATTAAATATAGTAATTGTTATAGTTGTTAAATTTTAGTTTTTTGATAAGATACAAAAAAGCTTAAGTTAGTTAATTAACTGAACCTAATATGTATAACAGTGAAATTCTTGCATTTTAGGTTAGTGAAATATCTCCTCGTCTGTTTCTCCAGCAGTCTTCAGAAAAAGATCAATCATCCTCTTTTCTGGAGTTTAATACAAAAGGCAGCCAGGTAAATTATTTATCTTGTCTAAAAATATATTTAGGAAGAAACGTTTTTTAGAGATGTTCAGGACTTACACGTTTATTAGGGTAACTGTGGATCTGAGATTCCGTGATTTGTACACTACTGTTACAACCAAAATAAAATCTCTCTACAACTCATAGTTCTGGATATGTTATGAGAGTGGTGGTTAAATTCTGCTGTTTGGTCTGATCTGACGAGAGTAGCCCAAAAGTTGGTTGTGGTTAGTGTTAATTAGCTGCCTTCCCTCTAGTTTATCATTTCATGATAATAAAGTTAGAAAAAAAAATTACCTTTACACTCCAGATAATTAAAAGAAAACTTTTATTTTAACTGATGTTTTGCCTTTGTGGCTTCTTCAGGGCTAGTACATAAAAATATTTTATATTAGAATATTCGTTAAACTACTTGTGTTCTATTTCTTGAGTCTGCCTCAAGTTAATATCATAACTATACTATAATATTAGAACAATAGTGAAACAATAATAATATTCTATACATTGTTAGTGGCATGTTACAGCAGACTCGAGAAATAGAACACAACAACTAGTTTTATGTACTAACCCTGAAGAAGCTGCAAAGGCAAAATATTGGCTACAATAAATGTTCCCTTAAGATTATGTGGAGTTTAAAGGTCGTTTTTTTTCTAACTTTATTATCAAAGTGTATAAATTCTTCCAGTATGTAGTGTACATTTTGAAAGACAACAACATATTTCCAGCTATCACTTCATAATTAAGGTCAGATACCCATCAAGTAGCTTTATGTGTGAAATTAAACAACAATTTGATTATTAATAATACATAGATGTTTCTACTGATATTACATTTATTATTTGTTCTGAACATTTCAACTCCAACTTTAAAAAAATTAAAACAAAAACAATTTAGTGCAGATTTTCTGTAATATATTTTCAGTTCGCTCTTCCATAACATTGACAACATGCTTGTTGTTTTGATTTACATGAACATAAAATTACTTCTGTGATTTTTACTGAACTAAAACTTATATTAAGTTCCTTAATAAACTGGAATATATTGTTCAGTGATAAACATTAGATAGTTTGCTGTCTAAGTATACTATAACTATAATATACTTTGTACTCTATTTGAAAATATGACAAGGTATTTAAAAGTTGTTGCAAGATGGAAATTATCTGACAGTCTTGTCATGCATTGTGTTTAATAAAATTCTGAAAATTAAATGTTTAAAAGAAGAATCTTATAACTGTATTTGTCTGGAATTAAGTATTTGGGGTTTATCTAAGTTGTGTTTGAGATTTTATGACTTCTATGGTATATATATATATTCCAAAGACTTCATTACAGATAAATACAGTTTTAAGGTTCTGCTTTTGAGCAATTGTTTTTCAGTTATAAAATTCCAGTTACAGCTTAGATAAACATAAAGGAATATATGTACATATATTCATTCTTACAGAGATCTTTGAAAAAGAAACAATTTTGGAACAAAGGTACAGGATATTCAACATTGTGGGACTGCCAGAAAGATTGGAGTCCAAACAGATATGTAGCTGCTCAGAAGGAAAAAGATATTCAGGTCAGTTAACATACCTACTGTTCATATTTTCCATAACGTATATATACATCATCACACGAACATCTCCATGTGCACAATAAATTCAAGCCATTGGCAACTTCTACTACCTTTTCTTCAGACATATTCCTCTTTCTTCTCACTTGTGGTCGCCGTTCTTCATATCTTTGTGGTAGCAATTTATCCCATACTCTTTCCATCATCCTCATATTCTTAATTCTCCTTACTGGCCCTTCTTCTCTCAGTCTTCAGCTGCTTGGTGGGAAGACCTCTACCCTTCTTCTCTCTTCCATCCTTGTATTACACTCTTCTGTGCTTGTTAGAACCCATACAGATTTTTCTGCCTTGTTCGTTGCTACTTAGCTCATACCTTTCACTTTTGGGGTTTTTGTCATCCATTCTACATTCCCTGGGATTCTTCTTCCCAATGCAAATCCCCACTTTTCATCTTCAAGTTGAGCAAGGGGGTTCTTTACTAATTACCAGTTTCTAGCTGCTGAGATGGTGGACCCTGGAGAGATCTCACTGATTGGAACCTAACAGATGGGGACTAAACAAAGGGGCCAATCAGTGGGATGTAGGGCGATGGTGACACTGTCAGTTTAGTGCACATCACCTCTCGTATAATTATACCAACAACATGTCAACATCCCCCATCCCACTGCCACCCTGGCTGGTCTGGTGTTGGATTGGCATAGGACCAGTCATCATAAGTTCTCATACATATGGTTGATAGGGATCTTCCTCTTACTGTGAACTGGCCGAAAAATTCCCAAAGCTGCCTGGTTTTTGTTCAGAGTTGACCCACCATGTTTACATTTCTCCTTCCTACCATTTCCCAGATGTTGGATTCCCAGGTGGCTTGATGTTGGTTGTATATTGGGTCTGCACACATGCCCTGTCTATTTTCAGAACAGAAGTTGCTCTTCCCTTCTGCTTCCTGGAACCCTCCTCCAACCAGCAATCATCTCCTCTTCAGTTCAGTTGAGCATGTACAAACAAATTGTGCCCTTCTCCTGCAGTGAATAATTGTCCAGTTGAATCAACACATGCACTCTTTATATTATATACTATATGTCATGACTTCTTATAGCTGGTGTCGGTTCAAGAGTCTGCTAGTAGAGTTGAGAATAACACACACTTATATTTCTTGTGCCCTCCTCCAACAACTGATGTGGGTCTAAGGGTATAGTTGAGGTGAGCACTCTGTATGATCTGAACATGCCTCAATGACACTAAATATATTGGCTTTTTGACCTCTTGTGTGCAAGTACTTAGATAGCCATGTTCTTTTTCCACCTATACCCACAACATGTATCAATGTGGGATTCTAGCTTCCTGTGTGAAGAGGTGTGTATTGTTGCCTTGTAATGGAATGAAGATCATCAGTCAAAAGCATAGAGGGAGCTAGTGTGAAGGGAGGTTGTTTACCCTCTTATTGGTGGAGGGCTTTTGCTGCATAATAACAACATTAAGCAGTAGTGCAAATCATGAGAAATCTTGTGATTTAGGTGGGAGTTGCCTTAAGACTAGTTACATGCAAGTTTCTAAGACAGACACATGGGGAGATAGCTTTCTGTGTGAAGAGGTGATTATCTATCATAAATAGATTTTCAGATAAGGAAAATGTTAACTTATAACAATTAATATATTCCCCCCCCCCCCACAGTGGCACAACTGTAAATCTGAAGGCTTATAATGCTAAAAAACTAGGATTTGATACCTGTGATGGACACAGTACAGATAGCCTACTGTGTAACTTTAGACTTAACATCAAATCAACAGTACACCGTCAGAAGAAACTGTGTCCCACTACAAAATTTTTACATATTGAGATACATTGAGAAAATTTTTAAAATAATATATACCAGATATACATAAGGTAAACTAAAGATGAAAATAGAAAAAAAAATCAACCACAACAATTGTTATAGAACTCTTACCAAGCCTGGATGTTGCAAACATTTGAGTCTGAATGTACTACCAACTGACCAAGCATTAAATCATTCAATCATCATGTTTTTTATACTCTTCTTTGAGGAGTTCAATATTTCTACAGAAATTGAATCATTTTGATTTTTTACTCAGATTCTGATTTTCTAGTCTGAAATTTCTATTTTACAGTGGTTCTCAATCTGTGGTCTCCCTTCAGGTGTTCTGTAAAAAAGTTGAATAATTAGAAAAAGTAAACACCATAGAGTATAAATCCCATTGTGGTCAGATGCTCTGCAAATAAAAACGTTTAAGAACCAGTGCTACTTTAGATAACTTGAGGTTGGCATTTTTCCCTAAGGAAAGTATATTTTAATGTTTCTATATCTTGACTACTTGCGTACTCAGAGAAAGATATTTTAAATTTTCCATAAATCACTTGTGTATCTAAAAAGAGATTTCCAAAACACACTTACCTCTGCTGACACTATAGCTATTTCTCAATCTCCAGGTTTTCCACTCTTTGCCATCTAAGCACTGAAAACACTTGCTCCAGTCTTTTATACCCAACTCAAATGCCCTTGGTAAATTCTAATTTGCAAAATTCCCCACCAACTTCAATGTGCTCTCTATCTAGGTACTGTATATAATCACCTCATTCAGATAATGTAATCACTTTTTCTCAACAAAACATTTGGCACAGGTTTCTATAACCAGGAGTATTGTGATTATTCGCAATTTACGTTGAAACTTTGAACATGGTTGGCATTACTATGGTTATTTCTTCATTTATATTTATAAACCAGTCTTCTTCTCTTCCACCTCTGCTATCTTGTGTTTGTCAATGCCCAAGGGAGGGGTCACTCTCAGTCGAAGATGTCCATGATATGATCTGTTGCAAATAAAGACATATATGCGAACTGAGGGTGTCTCTCCAGGGGGTTTTGGGGCAGCTTTTGCAAATGACCCAGGACCAGCAAGGGGGGAATTTAGACTCGCTTTTTCCAACTCCTTGTTTTACTAAGTCAGCCTCAACAGAGGATCATCTTAATCAGCTCCTTATCTTCAGTTGATTACTTGGGTTTGTGAGATTTGGGGGGTCTCTCCTATTGTATTTGACTCTACTCCTTCCTTGTTGGCAGAAAGGAGGGCAAGTGACTACTTGGTTTTCCTCCTTCCCTTGATATTGCTGTTCATGCTGGGAGATTTGCTGCTCAGTGACTGGATGAGATATCTATGCCTCGTCCCCCATGTTTATTAGAACAACGTGCTTTGGCATATCACTGTCAGGTGGAGGTATATTCAGATTCTCAATGGATGGACCCCCCCGGATTTGTTTCACTCTCACAACTTTCCTGAAGTATTTATCTTCGATTCATCTTTGTCAGAAGCCTATCAACGTCCCCCTCAGCAATTTGAGGATTAGTTGGGGATTTTGCTAACATCTAATTCAGTCAGATTGTCTTCTTCAGTTCTTTCTCTGGTTTCCTGGCTGGTTTGTTGTTGGGATTTATTGGGTAGAGACACTTTGTTAGAAAGTATTCATTTACTATCTTTTGCCCTCAGGGAGTTACAGGAAGCTCCTTTTCTCTGTCTCATGTTGTTTGCCGGAGCTCCAGAGACGTTAGAATCACGAATTGATTCAGCCCATTTACATTCTCCTTTATCATCATTGGCTTCTTGTCTTTCTGGTGCTAATTTGGGAGTGTCGGCTCATAGTGTTTCCTGACCCCCTCCTTCAGTTCCCTGGTCTATTGATTCCAATAATAGAGTCTGTCCATATTCTCGGGAGTCTTCAGCTTGAACAGACCATCGACAACGACGTCGGTGACTATCCAATGGGTGGGGGAACAGTAGGAGCATGATTACATTACTTTCTGGTCATCTGGAGTTCTTTCACCAGGGATCCATGGGTACTCCATGTTCTGGCTTCAGGGTTGGTCATTCAATTTACATCACCTCCACCATTATCTGCACAACCTGTTGCCTTTTCACCTCCAACAGATCCATGGTGAGTGGATCTTTGTTCCCAACCCGTAAGAGAGTTGTTAGTCAAAAGGGCAGTAGTGAGGGTTGATCCTATTCTTCCAGAATTTTATTCCTGTTTATTCATTGTACCCAAGAAGACAGGAGATTGGCATCCAATCATTCATCTGGCTTGACTCAACCAATTTTTATATCCTCCTCGCTTTACTATGGAATCTTTTCTCAACCTGGGCTCTGGGTGATTAAGTTTGATGTTACGAACACTTATCTTCATATTCCATTGTGGAATATTCCTGGAGGTTTCTCAAATTTGTGCATAATGGTCAGGTGCTGGAGTTCAGGGCTTTAACTTTTGGTCTTGCATCTTGCACCTTATGTCTTCTACAGAGTTGTTCGAGCTTTTTCTCATCATCTGCATTCCTTGTCCCTGTGCACACATCATTATATGGATGACTGGCTCCTTCTGGCACCATCCCATCAATTAGCAGAAAACACTCTCAGATTCTCCATTCAGAAGCCACAAAAGTGGGCTTCCTTATCAGATTGGAGAAATCTATTCTGGCACCAATGCAATATCTTGTACATCTGGGTGTGTTTTTCCATACTCACTTAAGTTGCGTTCAATCAACCCCTATCAGGCTTCAAGCCATGGAAAAAGCCGTCAGGCTTTTACTTGTGTCTCCTCCTACCGCACGGATGGTTCTCTGTTTTGGGTATGTGAGTATCCCTCAAGGCTCTCATTCCTTTGGGACGAGCACATACGAGGTCCCTTCAGTGGTCACTGCACGACCAAAGGATCATGCGTTCCGATCCTTTAGATCATCCTGTCTCATTACTCAGGAGCAACATCGTTGATTGCAAATGGTGGTTGGATCAGAACAAACTACTATAGGGGTACCCATTCCATAACCTTGCCCCAAGATCCATCTGTTCACAGATGCATCTCTTCAAGGATGGGGAGCTTTCTTCAAGGTCAGGAGTTCCAGGGTATTTGGATAGAAGACGATTCTACCCTGCATATCCATGTTCTCAAACACATTGCAGTACACCAGGCAATAGTTCAATGTCTGTCTCTCTTGAAGGGAAAAATTGTCATGATACATTCCAACAATTCCACTGTGGTATCTCAGATTTCTCGTCAAGGTGGCACACATTCTCGAGACCTTTGTTTTTGTACCTTTGATCTTCTCTACTGGGCTTATTCCCATCATATCAGTCTTTTAGTATGTCATATTCCAGGAGTTATGAATTTAATTGCAAATCACTTGTCCCATCCCAACTGGATACTTTTAATGGAATGGGTGCTACATCACAAAGTTTTTTCAGTGGATTTGCTCTCAGTTTGGGTCTCCAGCAATTGATGTTTTTGTGACTCCTTGGAATTCTCAACTGCAGTTGTTTTGGTCTCCGATACCTTATCCTCAAGCAGTGGCAGTAAATGCATTCAGTCAAGACTAGACAGGTTTACATCTGTATGCCTTTCACCCGATTTGGCTATTGCCCCACATTCTGACTATGGTTAGTTCCACTCCCTGTTGAGTTATTTTTGATGCATCATATTGACCAGCTCAATGGTTTTCGCTTCATCTGTATTTACATGAATGTCCACCTCTACCTCTTCCACATTGACAACCTCAATCAGGACCCCCCCCCAGATATTTGGGAACTCAATCTTCATGTTTGGAGGTTATGCGGTCCTTTGCCCAACATCAGAGTTTAACTTCTAAGGTTTCTCTGTATTTAACTATATCTCTCCATAGGCCAACCATGGCTGTTTATCAACAAAAATGGAATACTTATTATCAGTGGTGTATTAAAAGGAATTTAAAACCTCTTCATCCTAAAGTATCTACCATATCCCATTTTTGACTTGGGTATTTGAGAGGAGTCTTGCTTAGTCTATAGTGGCTTTATATAATGCATCCTTATCCACTATTTTTGGGTATTCCAAGTATTGGGAGGTTTTTAAATCTTCAGTACTATCAGGTATACTCAAATCCTTTCATAATCTTCGACCAAAACGACCTTTTCAATTACTGAGTTGTACTTTAACGGTTGTTTTATATGCATTGTCGTATCCTCCCTTTTAGCCCTTAGCTTCATGTTCTTTTTTTCACCCTTCTCTTAAGTTGTATTTTGTTGTTGTTGTTGCCTTGTGGATGTCTTTGATCAAAGTTGTTTGCAATCCATGTACATTGAACTCTTTATCATTCCACATTTGTCCTGCTTTACCCCAATAGGTCTTTTCTTCCCAAGACTAGCAGCTAGGGATAGGGAAAAATCCTTCTCACCATCTATGTCATTAGCTGCCCAGTTTAATTGCCATCTGGAAGACATTGTGTGGGCTGGTATGAGGACTACTAGTAATACATTCCTATCTCATTGCTCACATTATCTGGCAGTTTCCTCTTCTGAGGGTTTTTGACTACCCCCTGTAACTATTTTGACTACATCTGTTAGATTTTAACTAGAGGTGAGTATTTTCCTCAACCATATACTCTTTTATTTCCAGGGTCCCGCTTTTTTTCACTGGATCCCACTCTGTGGCAAGTGTTCCCCAGGCACATATGCTTTCTCTTTTCAATTCTGCAATAGCAACCACTTTCACTATAATTAATACACATTGAAACAGGCTCTGCTGAAATAGGGTATTCCATAAGACCATCCAGACACCTACCAGATGGTATTACCTTATTATTATGGACTATCACGATCTTCAGGTTGAATAAATTGGGGTTGGTTTGCTTTTAAAAAATGTAGAGAACTTGGTTCACCTATTGCACAGTTTCCAGAGCACTGTTCCCCAACATGTATTACCCCCCAACTCTACTAGTAGAGCTTGGGAGTCCTTACCACCCCCAGTTTCCAATCAGTGGTGTGGTGGACAGAGGCGTTTTCCTCCAGAGTGTTCGAGAGGGCAAAGTTGGGGGCCCTACTACCTGGATCCCAGATATCAGTAGGAGTGGCACCAACCTCCGTGGAAGCCTAATCGTAATTCCAGTTCAGATTTGACACGAAGCTATCTGGTTGGGGGTGCATGGCTCTTCTCTTTGACCAATGTTGTTCATGGAATGAGGTCTGCTATCTCCTCATAATTCTGAACATAAAGTGGTCCCATCCTAGGTCCTTGGTTGAGCACAGGTTCCACATACTCTCCATAATTCCAGGGGCAAGCAGAATACTCCTTGCCTACTTGGTTGGGGAGTGGGAATGAATGTTCATTATTCCAGATCAGATGAGTACTGTTCCTTTGGTTGAGTACAGCATAAGTGATACCATCATTCCGAGCATAGGGTATTGCCTTTTGGACTTCTTCAGGTGGAGGAGAAAGTTTGTCCACTTCGTGTTGCTTACTTTCTCATTGTGATTCCAGTGGTGTGAAACACATGCTCTATGGCTACAGATTGTGGTCCAATCAAAAGTTTACATAACTTTGCGATCCAATTGCCTTAGCCACCAACATGGGATATAGGTACCACGACCCCTTAATTACAACCTGGAATTGTGGAACCTCAGCCATCTGGTTGAGGCTGGCTTATACTGACGATTACTCTTGTTTTATTCCACCTTTGATATAGGAACTGAGTTCCAGGTGAAGAGTGTACCTGTTCTGGATGTAGTGTGATTCCTTTACTCTTGTACCATTTTTTATCTTGGTACACTTCTGTTCTATACAGACGCTTTCTGTATGGTTCATGCCTGCACTGGCCCCTCCACCATCTCAATGTGGGATTCTAGTTATAGTGTCAGCAAAGGTAAGTGTGTTTTGGAAGTAAACATTTTTCTAAATTGAAAGTGTATTTACAATAATACTTACCTCCACTGACACTTTAGCTCAATCTCCAGGGTTTCCCCTCTTTGCCCATCTAAGTATTGAAAACACTTGCTCCAGTCTTTTTATACCCCACTTGAATGCCCTTGGTAAATTCTAATTTGCAAAATTCTCCACCAACTTCAATGCACCCTCTATCTAGGTACTGTATATAAGCACTTTGAAATTTTCCACCCCCTAACCATACTTATGTATTCAAAGGAAAATATTTTAAATTATCCATACCATGACCATGTTTGGCCTACTTGTGAAATTCTTTTATGGTGGCAAAAAAATATTGTAAGATTGTAGAATAAAAACAGAAAGATAAACCTGAAGGATCTCCATAGAAATTGAATGTGTTTGATAAATATTATTATATGTAATACTACATTGAAAAAGAACATTATGTAAAGCATCAGTGTAGGAAGTTAAAAGTGTAAAACATTAAAATGTAAAATTACTTATAAGTGTAAAACTACAACTAATTCATCTTGAACAATCAACTACATGAGTTCTTCCTTTTAGTTCTTCCTGAAACAAATAAATGTATATATAAAAACTAAATTACTGCATATTAATACAACATCTTCAAAAAACTTAATAAATATAGCTTTTGTTTTTCTCTGATGATAAGAATGAAAAATTGTGTTTTTACTATCAGTGTGAAAAGTAAAACTAAAAAGGTGAAATTACTTGTGAATATTGATTTCAAAACAAATTGTTTAATAGATTTTGTTCTTGAGTAAAAACTCTGGATTACAAATTTATATATGCTGTGCAGGTGCAGAAGGTTTTGTGGGACATCGTGAAAGAGCTACAACATTTTAAATCATTGTTTTCTCAAGGAGTGGTTGAATCTTGTCAAAACCAAGTTGATAAAAGTTCTGTAGTTGATAATGGTAGGCAGCAAAATGGATTAAATGAGAGTAAAACGGATGAATCGTGGGACTCAACCTCTCTGAATAGTGGAACAAGCAGCATCTGGCCATCAGACCAGGCCAGCAGCTGCTGCTCAACATTTGGAAATGGTGCAGAGTCAGAGTTAGCTAACAAACAATTAGAAGATTCAAGAGAACTGTACATGATCTTAGAGAACTCTTCATTAATTCCATTCTTGGAAGTAAGTGTTAGTGTATGTTTGTGTGTTGTATGTAAATGTGGATTTTCTTAGTTCTTTTATACTATAAAATAACTTCCTGTTTTCAGAATTTTTTTAGTATTTACCTATTTAGCATATATTAACCTAC